CCCCAAAACCCCAAAACCCCAAAACCCCAAAACCCCAAAGAAATTTTAAGATAGAAGTAGTTAATAATCTTCATCACAGTTGGGAATACTTTGATCTCCCTTCACCAAGGGAAGGCACTTTGTTTTCCATCTTTTCGGTAGCAATTTCTGTCCTTTCCTTTTTGGTATAGATCTCGAAGACTTAAATGGGATTCTTCTGTCTTTCTCTTTAAATTTATCAATCCTTGTGCTAGCGAGAGAGTTGGTTTCATGGTCTTTGAAGGTGTTAAAATTGCAGCAGGCTTCCATACTCTGGTCTGGTTGTGAGAAGATATTCTCTGTTGTTTGCCTGTTATTAGTGATATGCTCTGGAGAAGTGCTTGGTCAGGTGTAATCATGCACTAATATCTTCTGATTTTTGGTAGGTGTAATTTGGAAAGCAAACTAATAGCTGGTGAACAAGAAGTTAATTTGGGATTTTTTACCCATTTTTACAGAAAATATTAGTTAAAATTATTAACGAAATTGGGATAAAAAAAGAAGTGCTTACATTTTCATCTAGGACAGCATTGGGTGCAATTTGGCTGACGAAGGATTCGTTGTAGACTATGTCTAAGCGAGCTTTTTGGATCGGTGGATGAGGGCTATTCGTTGTTAAAATTTATTGGGATCAAATTATTATTGAGATTAATATTACTTGTATTCAAAGCCATAAACAATTCAATCGTTTTTATGCTTTTCATCATATTTTTCATCTTTCTTCTCTTCTTGCTGTTTTTCCTTATTTCTCATAGATTCGATGCTTTATGTACAGATATAAAAAGAAGACGATTGAGAGAATAATAAATATTCATATAACTGCAATAAAAGTTATTAATCGAACAGGAGGAATTTTTTCCTCTCACTGATCGAGGCTTTTTCACTCTCCTTCTATACATCAATCTTCACAATTTTTTCACTTCTCATCTAACCTAAAACCACATTACTATCATAAAAATCAACTTCTACAGCATTAAAATCGGTCTAAACAATCATATCTATCTTCTAAACTCTATTTTAGCCTATTTTCTATTTATTATTCCTCCAAGGACTATAAGCCCCCTGATTATAATATCTCTTCATTGAATCTCCAATTGAAAGTTATCCCAGACTTACAATCTCAAGAGCTGTAAGGAATTATTCATTTTTCTCAATATTTTATATCTGCCCTGGGGTTTTGGGGTTTTGGGGTTTTGGGGTTTTGGGG